ATATATAATATTTCTACAAAGAAATTCTGAATGAACTCTTATGCCTTCACTTTCTGAAATAACCTATATAGTTTGATACATGTGCCTTTTCTTACTTTTAGATTATGAGCGTTAGTTCCTAGAAATTTCGTTGACAAGTGAATGTCTTAGAGTTCTTGAGTTGGACAATCTCATTATAAATAAATTATTGAGACACAAAGTCGGGGAATTTAATTTTGTAGTCCGTTACATATATTTGTTTTTGTTACGTGAGCTACTCCGTTACATAATTTTGTAGTCCGTTACATATATTTGTTTTTGTAGAATCATTATTATAGAAATTCTAGAAGACAGTCTAAAATTGTGATGTCGTTGTATGATCATTTTTATAGGAGATAGGTACAAAATACATTGGAAATCTATAATAAAAAAAATATACAGAAATAGTATTAAAACTACAGCAATGACACTTGAGCTAGGGGGCAACACATGGCCCATCTACACATATCTCTTCGTACTTTTTTCTTTTCAAATTGGGTAAGATAGAACAGTTTACTATTGTTTCAGCACTGAATTGAAATTAGAGTCTACTAGTTATAATTACAATATTTAGGTATATGTCCTTTTTTTTTTTTTTCTTATTTTAGTTTTATGTCTATAATTTATATGGTATCATTCACTTGGACTCCTGTATACATAACCCAAGTTATCCTCTCATTTGATCTTGTACCATACTTGAAAGAAAAATTCTATCATTTAACTTTGTGGGTAATGGTAAGTTTTGTATATATTCTATCTCCAAATCCTATTTATGAATTTCACTGAATACGTTAATGTTATTGTTATTGATGAGTTTTATCTAGCGAATTCTGTTATACCAATAATTGATAGGGGGGGTTTAGAAAATGGACAAAGTACTTTTTCTTCTCATTAATATCCTAGCTATAATTATAGAATCTCACTTTGTTAACTCTCTTTTTCTTCTAGTGTCAATTCAAACACTTAAAAGTTGCCGAATAAAGTTAACAAAACCTCTACAACTCTTGTTCTAGCTGATTCTGAGAAAGTTCAAACTGAACAATCCTAAAATAGTTCCACGAGTTCATGAGTAGGATAAGGACAAGTGCTTGTCGGGATTATGATGGATTTGAAATATTATTAATCAAGGTAAATCACAATAATTTTCTTAATAAAAACGTATTACTTAAAAGATCTAAAGAAATGTACATCTAACCAAATTCACATTTCAAAAAACTAACTAAATGAAATGAGGATTGCTTAAATCTTATGAGGACATCATTATCTCATTAACACCGATAAAGAAAAAATTCACTCTTCGACAGAAAAAGAGAAGGATAATATACATACTCCCTTCATTTTAATTGTTTTAAAAACAGTTGGTCCAAAATAATTATGTCCTTCGCCTTCCTATTGTTTGTTTAACTAAACATGAGGTTTAAAAAATAAAAAAGTGAATTTTAATAAATAGATATAATTAATAATTTATTGCTACTTTTTATCTTTAGAGCTGGGCAGTAGGCAGAGACGATATACTCACGTCTCTTATCTATTTCTTTTTTCTTAATTTGGACTTTACGGTTTTGTCGTGTTATGATATTTCAAAATTGCAGTTAATTAAGGGTGGAAAATAGAAATACAAACTACTTGGGCGTGAATTGTCATGTACAGTTGTAAAGTTATACAGCTGTAAGATATAAATTTCCCTTTTATCTAGTCGCTACTCGCTAGATACACTTTTATTAGGGTGGGCATAATTAGGGTAAAATCGAAATCCAAATTAAAATTTAACCTTTTTATATCTTTGATTTAGATTTTTTAATTACAGATTGAATTGGATTTAAACTTTTATAATTTTCTAATTTGGGACTTGAAATCTTAATACTATGACCAATATACGAGTAAATGAGTCAGGTACATAATAATTAAGGGATCTAGTATAGAAAGTTGAAGTTATTTTTTTTTAATCAGAAGTCTCACCATTGGGTTATTTTTTTTTTAATCAAAAGTCTTGATTTAAACCCTGTTTGTGTTTTTCGTCGCCATTTGAGGAATTTATGGCAGTGGTCCTTATGGAAGCATATGCCAAAACTCAAAAGCATCAAAATCTTTATGTAGTTGATCTGTAATTGATCATATATATCATCATATGGAAGCAACCTTAATAGGTTGAAAACTTGATATGAATAAGACAATGAATATGACTGATGAGACAAATTTCTACCCTTTTACTCAAGTAGGCACAAGACATCTTTGTCGTGATTCAGTTGATTTTTTATTTCATGAGTTACGGCGGCGTGCGTCGTTGTATGGGAGAATTAAGTAGACCAAAATGTTCATTTTCAATGGTACCACTGTCCACTAGCATGAGCCAAAGCCTAGCTATAACTAGGACAATTGGGTAGATGATCAGTTATGTACGCAAGTGTCTTATGAAATCAGACTTTTCTATTACTAGATAGACTAGACTAGATAATATATGAAAGTACTATAATCCAGCCACAACACTCTTCGAACGGACTTTTGGTTCAATTCTGTATGTAACGAAAGAGTCAGAATTTTTACTAAATAATCGAATAGATTCAATACAATTTTTCTTATTAAAAGGATGTCGATTTGTATCCATGACTGACGGCAAGCTTCTTACTTTAGTCTATGAGTTTTTTTTTGTCTTTGACATGGAAGAATATATATTGAAAGAAAAATAAGAACTTGTGGGCCAAAGAGTAGAAAATACGTACAACTTTTGTCATAGACGTTTCAAACTTGATTTCCTTAATCTGCCATATTCGACGTTTTTTTATCTCTGAATATAATTGTGGAACTTCACTGTTTCCTCTCGTGAAATACGTTTTGTCAAGCTTTGCACAGTTAGCTAGGCCACACTAATTTAAATTAACACCCCATGCTAATTAGTAATTACTTATACGGTGACTTTGATAAGTGAGCTTAATTATACTTAGGACTTAGGAGACAACACATAATTGGTTAATAACAGAATTGGAATGGTCCACTACTCATTGGTTTTTTAGGTTTTTTTTCATAAATGTGGTGACTATATATAGTACCTACCTTAGTTAAGTTTCTTATTAGTTTTGCTTTTGTCCTAGCCTCCTAAGTATATATGTTAGGTAAGAAAGTCATCTTATAGGTCAGTTTGGACAAATTTTGAATTACATATAATCTTAAAATTTTATTGATCTAATAAATTAATAATAACAATAATCAGCTATTCTTTGATATGGTCCTCTCACATAATACATACCATCTCTTCAATTTTTTAAAATTAAAGCAGAAATTTCATAAGCATACACTAATTTCAAATTAAAACTTTAAGTTCAAAAACTCAAATTCTATGACCAAACACTTACCTATATAATAAGGTAAAAAATTAATAAAAGAAGGTAAGTTACCAAAAGTGGTATCCTTATCTCATTTAACGTTTTAAGATAAGAATAGAATAATTTGGATATATATACGATTGAATGCCATGTATACTTGTGCACTTTAACAACTCAAAGGGTCAACAGTCAACACATCTCTTCTACCGGTGAGTACATAGGAAAAAAACCATTTTATTACTCATCTCCATTTTTTACTTTCGTGCTAACAAAATTGTACTATTAGATTTCTTCATGCCAAATCTAGTTGAATCCTCCACTTCCTCCTTTTTCTTAATCAGCAGTGAGTTTATATATATCTCATATATTTTTTCTATCATATTAATATGTTAATTAGTTCATCTAATTCAATTTACTTTGAAGATCAATTGAATTGACTTTTGAAGTGAAACAAGTAAGAACGTGTACCTTTTCATGGTGATAAGACGGCAAAGACAGAATATTTCATGGAGTATGTCTTATGGATGTTTCCAGGAAGCCGCCCATGTGAAAAGATCTTTTGGGATATTACTGAAGAACTATAAAGCAAAGTTATAATTTACCAAAATTCTAAACAATAGCAACAAATAGAGAAACTGACAAAAGTAAAAAGATAAGAAAAAGATGTGCTAGATTTTCTAGTATTCATACATATTTTTTTTTTAGTGTGAACCGTCTACATATCTCCTTTAAAACTAATTATCCCGCTTAAGCGGGCCGAGTTACTTAAGAGCAGGGCAAATCTAACAGGACCGGAAGATGATCACTTGAACCGTGTCAATAAAAAATTATATGATTTTTTTTTTTTAATGTATATATATAAATTTTAGTGGTTTAGAAATTTGAAATTCACCGTGTGACGTTTCAAGATCAAACCTTAATCATTATATTTTATTTTATTTTGGTGAAAATCTTGAATTCTTCCATGTTTAACTTAAGTTGAGGTCAATAAAATATTTCGGAGTCTCCTAATGCGGAACCGGCAATGGATCGAAAAGGACATTACGGAATTCCATTCTGTTGCCAGCGTTTCCCATTTTCTTGTTTCCACACTGCTAACTTGTAAGTTTGTTTAACCAACTTTCTAAAGTTTTCACTTTTCTAGGTGAAATTTTAACATCTTGTTGTCACTTCTTAATCGAATCTTATGAAATTTCAAATTAGACAATGTTTGACATATAGACTTGTAGTGAACTTATAGTGAATGTAATTTTTTCAACCTCAAACGTGCCTGAAGCAGAGGTTTAATACCTTTTACCACAAATTGTGAAAGGCATGTGTAGCACAAATGCTCCACTACAAAAACGAAATAAACAGATAGATTGGTGTTTGACCATGACTTTAATTGCAAAATTATAGTCATTATTTTCATGATTGAAGTTTTGGCCATCATTACTTGCAAATATTGGACTTTTGTAGTATCAATGTAAAAAATACTGATAAAATAGAACACGCTTAATTAAAAACTATTCATTCATTCATAAATAAATAAATAAGCAATCTTTTACCAATGAGGAAAAGATTACTTCAAAAGGGTCCCAGCACTTCCTCCGTACAGTGTACCTTTATTGTGTACACATTTCTCAGTTTATAAATTCATGCCCCATCTGCTTGCTCTGCCTCACAACTCTCCTTGTAGTCCGTCCTCTGTATTTCCATTTTCTTCTCAAATTTACCACTACTTTCTATCATATTTTTTTAGCATTTTTTCCTCTCTAAACAGAAGTTGTTTCTTGCACTGTATGTTGGAAGGAGAAAATTCGAATTATTATCAGCACAGAAAGAACAATGGAGAATCAAAATTATGCACCGTCCCATTCAGACGCGTCGCGGCCTTCACTTGGCTTCCCTCTCGGAACTGCGCTTCTATTGCTAATAATTTTCAGCTTGAGTGGCATCTTTTCTTGTTGCTACCATTGGGACAAGCTTCGATCTCTCCGTCGATCTATTGCCAACGGCACAGATCTCGAGGCCGGCGGAGACCCTTCATATTTGAAATCTAAACGAGCATACATGGTAAGATTTCAATTACAAACACTCTTACCAAATTAGTTGGATCATCGGCAATATGAATCTATTCAATTTTTAGTTATCTTGAAATTTTATTCTAAAAAAAAGTCTAATCAATTGTCATGTGATGGGCTATTGCTGAATTTTATGGTTGCTCTGTTTTACAGAATTGTAAGCAAAACCAAATCTCAGACATGCCAGCAGTGTTAATGCCTGGAGATCAAGTACCCAAGTTCATAGCATTGCCATGTCCATGTCAGCCTCCCAGACCAGACAAGGTACTTGCTGAGGTTCAGCAGCAGCCGTCATCTCCAATGAAGCCACCTCCTCATACACCAGTACGGGCAGTGGCAGAGGCAGAGGATGTAACTTTCACTCAAATTCGTAGTACTTTTTACTTGTAAATATAAATTAAATTTATATGAGCAATTTTCTACTACATTTTTACTCTTTTGAGGCTTGGATGTGGTATATAAAAAATCTTTTATGGTGATCGTAGTAAATAGTGAAGTGTGCGCAAACAAAATTTTATAATTTTTGTATCTAAGAAAAGAAAAAAGTTAAGGTGCAAGGATATTTTTAAACGCACAAGACTTTTTGACAGAGTGGTATGGATTTGATCCCAATGTGTAAATATCACAGCATGTTAAGTTTGTTTTTGATTCAAGTTGAAGCTAGGGGTGGCCGTTCCGTATTTGGTGTGGGATTATTAAATTTTGATTCGGTAATCGATAAATTAAATTTCGTATGATATTCGATAATATCGTATTGACGTTGTAGTTGATTATATTACAAAGTCAATATTATTTTTTCAATCATTTCTATTTTTGTATGTCACGATATAATAGAAGATCAATAAGTAAGAAAATATTTAAAAAAATGTTACAACTAAAAAACATGTATTTGGGTTGTTTATGTTCATTTTTAACTTTCTTCTTTTGATTTGTACGAATGAGTAATGGACATGTTGATACATAATTTTCATTAAATAAATAATTCGGTATTCGGGAAATACAAATATCAAATAGTATTAATGTCTCATACCAAACTCAAACTCAAATACCATAATTCTGAAATTTTACTCTCAAATACTATATCGAATACCCAGTTAATAAATAACAAATTACCAAAAATTTCAATTCATTCGATATTTTATTTTCAGCCCTAGTTGTAGCCAATAACCAATATCAGAACTATTATTGATGAGATAAAGACAAAAGTGGCAAAGTGATGACATGGTTCCGAATTAATGTCTGCCCGTTTATGAGTCGATTTATTATCTTTACTTCTAGTTTTGTAGACTCTTCGTAATAGATGTCAATGAGCTTTTGGTCATGAATCATGATGAAAAAATAGTAGGATGATGTAACTGTGATACAAACTAAATCTCGGACGTAGATGAAATTAATCTTAAGAAGAGATGTTAGATATAAAAATAAAGTCCACATTTTAAAACGAAAAGGACCAAAAAAGAAGAAGAAGAAGAGAGAAGATACTCCATCATCAGAGACGGAACCATGATTAAGAGTTTGGGATTCTAAATTTTCTTTTTAAAAAATAGAAGGGGGTTCGGAGCTACAACTTTAGCGTGAAAAACATTTCTACGGTTCTTTACTACTGAACTGTCAATCAATTTTGTTAGGAGTTCACAAGTTAATATACATATATATTTATTTAATTTTCTAGTACAAATACAAGGTCTACGATAAAGCTACTGAGTTCGTCAGAACCCAATAACTCCAACCTAGCTCCGCCTCTGTACTCCATATGCAACTGAGATAATTGAATTCTTGCCTGTAATTCAATATTAGATCAGGGCTTTTGGTACTAATAAAATTAAGTTTTTGGTTTTGATAATGCATGTATAAATTCTTCGCATCATTAAATTAAGGGAATATGATATATAATAATAGATAACTCTTAATAGCAGAGTAACAATAATATGCTACTATGAATACTGATAACAATGAAATTATACTCATAATGTTCTTTTCTAAAACTATATATAAATATATATAGCTTAATTCCCTTAATTTAATATGAATAACATTACTTGCCTGAACGATGTTGTAAAAAAATTTATTTTACACTATTATATCGGCATAGTTTAGTCGATTGCTTTAAAATAATCAACTTGCATTACTATTTCGAATATTTTCGATACTTGCTGTTATGTTGTAAGTATTTCTTTACAATATTACTATAGTTTAATTAACGATTGCTTTAATATAATCAACTTACATTACTAGTTTGATACTTTGGGATTTTATTTTATTTTTTTTTTAAAAAAACTTTAATAATGCCAAATTTTTTACATTATTAATATAAATTTGTCATGATTCTACTTTTACCACTCAAAGATTTCCTCTTCTATCAGATTCGTTCTGTCTTTATCATTCTATTTATGCGAGGTCTACTCGGTGGTCGTAGTAATAAAAAAACATTTTTTACAAAACCAAATCTTTTACCTTTGGACAAGTGTTCAAAGCAAGTAATATTTGATTAGTAGTCACGCTGCACATACAAAACACAAATGATGGTTGATTATAAAGTGAATTGCGAATCATTCAAAATTATCAACTACAAAAAAATCAGGTAAATATTTTTATTTATTTAAATATTACTACTAGAATATAAGGAATTAGGGATAAACAATATTTCATAGCTAAACAACAAAAAATTCATACCAATTTTAATATAATAGCGATAAATTATAAGAAAATTCAATTAGCTAAGATCAACTTTTTACGCGAATTAACTAGAGAGTAAAAACTACTGACAAATTTTATAGCTAATTCCATATTTTCTAGTAGCGAGTATCTTCAACATACATGTTCATGTGCATGCTAGCTGATTCTATTTTAATTAGTCAAGCATATAATTTATTTATTTTTGATAATAAGTGACGTTGGAATTTGAATTCCAAACCTTTGTCTAATTCTTTAATATCACATGGAAGTGTGTCATTATCTTATCTTAAATCGTAAGGTAAAATTACATTTATTTATAATCTTCATGTATGGTTCAATTACTAATCAATTGATTGAGTAATAGTAACAATCAACAGTCCACTAATGGGATGTCAAACTCTATGACTAACTTTCAAGTATAGTATCGATTTATGGATTGTATGATGATTAACGCAAATATAGTATAAACCACATAAAAGTAGAAAGTTAAGGGAGATAAAAGAGACAGATGGAATGTGTATTAACCACTTTATTTTTTTAAGCCTGACCTAATTTTGCTGTAGAATGAAAGTGGCCCTTTTGTTGATATTAAAAGTTCCACCTTTCCCCACCACTTAACATGTTAACCATGTGCTTCCGTCATTCCAAATGATTTTGCACTTTGTTTTTCTTGTCTATATTTTTCACTATTTCGTTTTTTTCAACCTTTCACCATCACGACCGAACTTGCTGATCCTTGCCGCTCATTCTCTTATTTGACCTTATTGTTCACTAAAAAGAACTAATTTTTTTATGAACTAGTTTTTGAGATTAAATTAGATATAATATTAGTATTTTTCTTAATAATCTCAAGTATAAATTCATTCACACACCTTCTTGACTATTGGGTAAATTCACAAATAATCACTTCTCAAACTTTGAAGATTTAAAAAAAAAAAAAAAAAAAGAGTCATTAATTAACACTTCTTTTCTCTTTTTATTTTTTCCATTTTCCAAGTATGAAGAATGAAACAAATTGTCAATATAGTCCACTTGCTTAGTGTTTTTTTACTTGGCTCAAATATGCAATAACTGCAGTTTCCTTTCTCCATTGAAAGTTGTAGTTAGTTGGGGATTGGTTAAAAAATGGAACACCAAGTTGGAGTGTGTGACTATCCCCTCCGTTATCATTTTTATACATTATTATATTCTCATCATGTTTCTTCACGTACAAACTTAATTCAATTTTTAATAGGATAAACATACCAAAGTTCTTTTAATAACTTGATATCAGAGGATTAGTCCCATAACTAATCAATGCTAGTACATAAAGTAATTTGCAGCCATATATCTTCTAAGTAGTATTATTGTATCAATATTTTTTGTACAATTAATTAGCGCATAAAATTTAAAGCAATAAAACAATGCAAAAGGAAATTTAGAGAAAATAATATTTATGCCGAATTTAATACCTATATAACTCTTCGACCCTGTAGGATTTGAAAATGTACGGATGTTAAGTAGAGCATGTAGATCTAGGACCCGTTGTCTGCGAGAATCCGTTCTGGAAAATGACATTTTAGGGGGCAACTACAAGTGCCAACGTTAGTGACCATATCAATAAAATAATGTAGTTGATGTGACCATTTATAAGAAATTTGATACTTTTAAAAATTAATATATTAAATACGTCATAATAACATTTATGTGGTTGTAAAAAAATTTAGAACTTGTCTCACTGTCCATCAAAGCTCCACCTACGGGCTCCCAATAAATTTTGTAAAGATATTGTACATGGTTTAATTCAACCTCAAAAGCTAATGAATTGTTCAAGTTCATCTAAGGAGATTGATCAGCAATTCATTTCCAACCAATATAGAACTTTTACCCACTCTAACACTCTCCTTCACGCCTAGCTAGGCTCAGTTGTCATGCGTGGACCAAGGGCCCAAACAAAAATAAACCTGAGATTTATGAATTCTAAATTCTTCTTAGTTGGTGAATTTTTAACCATATACATCATCATATTTATATCTAACGCCTAACGCTATTATTGCAGAAAGCATGACACCTGAGCCTCATATTATAATCAGGTACTATGCCTAGATCTAACACATGAATAGATTGTAGCCAAATGATAAACTATATTTACGTTAATTCGTACGATGACGATAGCTAAACAATGGAATTCTTTTTCTCTCTCTTGTAATTCTATACATTAAATGAAAGTTGCTAGTAATAGTGGAGCAAGATTCTTATTAGTGGGCTTAAAGCCAATCATGAAATTAGGCAGATAAACATGACAGCATTCATTCATGTTTTTAATTTTTTTGGTTACGGCTATACCACTGGCTCCTTTAATTTTTAGTAGACGCCCATAGAAATATAAAGTGTGGCATTAGTGGATTAATCGAATTCTCACGCATTACCCATTTTGCTTTCAACTCTTGATAGTAGTATTATTATGATCGTTCTATGACTTCCTTCATTATGAGTTAGTACAATAACAACTAACAAGATCTCCTTTGATCCTCGTTGTATGCTTGACTAACTCATTTTAACACGTTTATTTGAGGCCTTTTAACTCTAGTAATTTCAGGAGAGAAGTTTTGAAGCAACGTTAACGAAGAATTAATATGGGATAATTTGATAAAATACCTATATTAACAAAAATAAAAAAAATTAATGGACGTGCCAAATAAAAGTGAACAAAGAGTAATTAAAACATGATATAAGTTGAACAGTTGGGGTTTGTCAAATTATTTAAAAATCATATGGACTCGAC